AACTCACACCTGTACACACCTCACTTGTCAATGTGACAGAGACACGGATGGACGTGTGTCCACACGCACGACAGGTGTTAGTGTGCATGTGTTTTCAGTGTGGGAGGGAGAGGAGTGTTGGCCGATGTTGTTTGAGTGTGTGTATGGTTCCAAAAGCCGCCTGCTGGGAGTGGGGTTCGAACCCACGCGGAGATACACTCCAGGGGATCTTAAGTCCACCGCCTTAACCACTCGGCCATCCCAGCCCAACCGGTCGCCACACACATTCACAACCAAAAGGCAACTCGCAAAATTAACCACAAACACAAACAAACAAATACACACACATACACACACACACACGCACGAACACCTGTTAAACACACCTACACACACACTCACTCACTCACTCACTCAACACAAATCAAAACTCAAAAACAACCATACAGCACCACTCGTCAAACAATCATCAGCACATCAACATACACACGTCTCACGTCTAATCACGTCATCAGCACACAATACATCACCTGTCGAATAGGTCAGACAGGCAGCCAGCCAATCAGCAGTGTGCACAACCAGTCACCAACAAAAACCGGTCACAACGCCACAACACATATCCAACTGACAAACACAATCAACGCAATCCTCAACCTCATACACAGCACAAACACATTCTCCGCCTTCTTCATCTTATTCATATTCTACACCACCATGACAACTAGGTGAGCACTGTTCACCTCTACAATCAAATAATCACTTCCTGCAATTCCTCGCCCTCAAAATCTTCCTAGTCACTGTTGACTATGACCTCCGCCGTTTCTCCGTTCGCATGAGAACTCCATCCACCTGCTTGCTATTCATGACTCAGTCCACTTCCGAAGGCCATGTCCACACACATCGATGTAGTCTCGACGACAGTGGCTGTCATTCATGTAGACTTCCATCGGTCTTTACGCAACATGCTGACTAGTTGGCGTCGACTGGAGTAAGCTGAAGTGTGTGTAGTCATCAGCGTCAGCTGCGTGAACAAGCCAGTCGTCGACTACTACCTTATGACGGGGTGAATGTGTGAGAGCGATCAGGTGGGAGAGGACTCTTACCCCACACCGCTTGTCACACCTCACATCATCATCATCATCATCATCATCATCATCAAGCGACACGTTGTGGTGATGAGTCGACCTGGTCTACTGCACTCGCTCAGTCGGTGGGAGCAAATCCGCTACTACTCGCCACCACGACGACACCGTCAGTAATCTTATGGTCGGTGGTGATCAGACGGTGTGTCGTAACACTTCGATTTGTAGACGCCACTGACAGACAAGCAGACAGACACTGAACACAGACGAAACAACAATCATCGAATTACAGACACGTAGAACATCACACGTGGACGCTCGCACACACACGCACACAAGCATAGACACACACAACACACAAACACACATATGCACACAGTGAGGAGCTTGACGGGACTGACATTGAGTTTGAATGCATTAGGGGAACTGAAGCAATCGGTGGATCAATCCACCGACTAATCAACCATCCAGCTGAGTCAATCGACTCCCAGCAACCAGACTAGAAATGGAGTAGTGGCACATTGACCAGCCTACACGCCGCTCCACGAAACTCCGACCGACACACGGACACCACAATTCACAGTGAGCAGATTAGACCAGAGGACACGAGACGACAACCGACTATTCATTCATCATGACAACTCACACCTGTACACACCTCACTTGTCAATGTGACAGAGACACGGATGGACGTGTGTCCACACGCACGACAGGTGTTAGTGTGCATGTGTTTTCAGTGTGGGAGGGAGAGGAGTGTTGGCCGATGTTGTTTGAGTGTGTGTATGGTTCCAAAAGCCGCCTGCTGGGAGTGGGGTTCGAACCCACGCGGAGATACACTCCAGGGGATCTTAAGTCCACCGCCTTAACCACTCGGCCATCCCAGCCCAACCGGTCGCCACACACATTCACAACCAAAAGGCAACTCGCAAAATTAACCACAAACACAAACAAACAAATACACACACATACACACACACACACGCACGAACACCTGTTAAACACACCTACACACACACTCACTCACTCACTCACTCAACACAAATCAAAACTCAAAAACAACCATACAGCACCACTCGTCAAACAATCATCAGCACATCAACATACACACGTCTCACGTCTAATCACGTCATCAGCACACAATACATCACCTGTCGAATAGGTCAGGCAGGCAGCCAGCCAATCAGCAGTGTGCACAACCAGTCACCAACAAAACCGGTCACAACGCCACAACACATATCCAACTGACAAACACAATCAACGCAATCCTCAACCTCATCCACAGCACCAACACATTCTCCGCCTTCTTCATCTCATTCATATTCTACATCACCATGACAAGGTGAGCACTGTTCACCTCTACAATCAAATAATCACTTCCTGCAATTCCTCGCCCTCAAAATCTTCCTAATCACTGTTGACTATGACCTCCGCCGTTTCTCCGTTCGCATGAGAACTCCATCCACCTGCTTGCTATTCATGACTCAGTCCACTTCGGAAGGCGATGTCCACACACATCGATGTAGTCTCGACGACAGTGGCTGTCATTCATGTAGACTTCCATCGGTCTTTACGCAACATGCTGACTAGTTGGCGTCGACTGGAGTAAGCTGAAGTGTGTGTAGTCATCACCGTCAGCTGCGTGAACAAGCCAGTCGTCGACTACTACTTTATGACGAGTTGAATGTGTGCGAGCGATCAGGTGGGAGAGGACTCTTATCCCACACCGCTTGTCACACCTCACATCATCATCATCATCATCATCATCATCATCAAGCGACACGTTGTGGTGATGAGTCGACCTGGTCTACTGCACTCGCTCAGTCGGTGGGAGCAAATCCGCTACTACTCGCCACCACGACGACACCGTCAGTAATCTTATGGTCGGTGGTGATCAGACGGTGTGTCGTAACACTTCGATTTGTAGACTCCACTGACAGACAAGCAGACAGACACTGAACACAGACGAAACAACAATCATCGAATTACAGACACGTAGGAAATGACACGTGGACGCTCGCACACACCCACCGAGGCTCGAGCACACACATACACACACGCACACAAGCATAGACACGCACAACACACAAACACACATATGCACACAGTGAGGAGCTTGACGGGACTGACATTGAGTTTGAATGCATTAGGCGAACTGAAGCAATCGGTGGATCAATCCACCGACTAATCAACCATCCAGCTGAGTCAATCGACTCCCAGCAACCAGACTAGAAATGGAGTAGTGGCACATTGACCAGCCTACACGCCGCTCCACGAAACTCCGACCAACACACCGACACGACAATTCACAGTGAGCAGATTAGACCAGAGGACACGAGACGACAACCGACTATTCATTCATTGGCATGACAACTCACACCTGTACACACCTCACTTGTCAATGTGACAGAGACAGGGATGGACGTGTGTCCACACGCACGACACGTGTTAGTTAGTGTGCATGTTTTTCAGTGTGGGAGGGAGAGGAGTGTTGGCCGATGTTGTTTGAGCGTGTGTATGGTTCCAAAAGCCGCCTGCTGGGAGTGGGGTTCGAACCCACGCGGAGATACACTCCAGGGGATCTTAAGTCCACCGCCTTAACCACTCGGCCATCCCAGCCCAACCGGTCGCCACACACATTCACAACCAAAAGGCAACTCGCAAAATTAACCACAAACACAAACAAACAAATACACACACACACACACGCACGAACACCTGTTAAACACACCTACACACTCACTCACTCACACACTCAACACAAATCCAAACTCAAAAACAACCATACAGCACCACTCGTCAAACAATCATCAGCACATCAACATACACACGTCTCACGTCTAATCACGTCATCAGCACACAATACATCACCTGTCGAATAGGTCAGGCAGCCAGCCAGCCAGCCAGCCAATCAGCAGTGTGCACAACCAGTCACCAACAAAACCGGTCACAACGCCACAACACATATCCAACTGACAAACACAATCAACGCAATCCTCAACCTCATCCACAGCACCAACACATTCTCCGCCTTCTTCATCTCATTCATATTCTACATCACCATGACAAGGTGAGCACTGTTCACCTCTACAATCAAATAATCACTTCCTGCAATTCCTCGCCCTCAAAATCTTCCTAATCACTGTTGACTATGACCTCCGCCGTTTCTCCGTTCGCATGAGAACTCCATCCACCTGCTTGCTATTCATGACTCAGTCCACTTCGGAAGGCCATGTCCACACACATCGATGTAGTCTCGACGACAGTGGCTGTCATTCATGTAGACTTCCATCGGTCTTTACGCAACATGCTGACTAGTTGGCGTCGACTGGAGTAAGCTGAAGTGTGTGTAGTCATCACCGTCAGCTGCGTGAACAAGCCAGTCGTCGACTACTACTTTATGACTGGCTGAATATGTGTTTGTCGCAGCTCACATCATCATCGTCATCATCAAGCCACAGGTCTTGGTGATGTACCGATTTGCTCTGCTGCACTGAGTGCTTTTTGTAGAGCATGGACTGCGTGTTTTAATTAGCCTTTGGAATGATCTCGAGTAAATATTTGTAGATTTTTTATATTGTTTCGACTTGTGAATGGAGCAACCTCAAATAATAATACTACATTGCGTTTATTTGTTTCATTGATTTTTGGAAACTATATAGGAAAAAGGAAACAAAATCAATTTGAAGGGATTTAAATGAATGTTTGAATAATGTAGGATATAGGAAATGTTACATAATATTCTTTAAACGGAAGACGACAGAACTGTGAAAGACTACAAACAGTGCAAAAAAATTATATTAGAAAAACCTAAAACAGAATAATCAACTTAGGAAAATAATCATCCATGAGGTATTTTCATTGCTGTCATTTGGAAAGGAATAAGTGATATGTACATGTTTTCATTTCAGTTAGGCATGATTATTCATCCACTGTGAAATAAGGACGTGTCATTCAAACAAAACAAACTGATTTATTTTAGAAAAATTACGACTTTAACGTCATTGAGCAGAGGAAGCCAGAATTATATCTTTATAATTACAAGAAGTAAAACATTTACAAAGTTGATAAAATTGTTCATGAATAGATTTTACAGTCGCGAATGGATTATCACCTAAATGCCGCTTTTCTCCGCCGTCTATCGGAGGCATCCTGATCTCACCATTCACAGTTTTTTCCTTCTTTAGTTGAATAATTTCCAAAAGGTAATTGATTTTTGCTTGTAAATACTCTTCAAGACCTAAATGGTAGTTTCCTGCAGACATTTCAGATGGTAACTCTGTACCTCGAATATTTTCTAACAGCGCAGTTGAATTCAACAGACTGACCAAACTTGCTGGCTCTAACACAGCTAAATAATTCTCTACACTTGATAGATTACAGCTTAAAGGAAAACCAGATGACCCGGTTTGAGAAGATGAATCTATGCAAAATAAACACAGAAAACTTAATAAAACAATCAGCGATATAACAGAGATACCAGACTGGAAATGTTCCCCTGTTAGGTGTTCAAGTAAATCACAAATATTCAATAAATTATTTAAATCCCTCTTCAGTAATAAATCAAATCCATTTAAACAATTCGGCAGACTATTCTTGATCCTACTGATAACTTCTCCTTGTACAGTACGAAAGTGTTTGGTTTGTACTGTAAGTTTAACGATCGCCTCAACTAATTCTATCCGTTTCTTTACATGATCCTCTAAATTAGCAGATAATTGATTGAAGAGTGGTTCAATTTGAGAAGCGTACTCATTGAACACTGACAAGGATGCTCCTCCCGCAATGTGATGTTTGTTCATATCTTCCGGGGAATTTTTCCTATACAATACGATATGCAGATAATCGTTATCAGGGAAAAAATTACTGCCACCATTCAAACAATCATTTTTATGTTTCTTTGTAAAGGTATTGTAGTAGATTAATTCTTGTAAAATTGGCCAAAATATCTCAGAATAATTACTCTGTAGTTTAAGTAGAGATTTTTTGCAGTTTACTGAAATATACACACAATAATCAAATTTAACGGGGTTTTTAAATTCACAAAATGAAACACGCATTGTTTTATTATCTTTCTTGCTTTTCACATTACTACTATCATTTAAATCAGTAGTATAATTTTTTGGCGATAAATTTGGAAACAAATTTGATAGATGTATATTCTTTGAATCATTATTATTATTACACTTCGTTAATAATTGAAAATACAGTGAAAATCTTCCCTCCACCTGATGTTTATCCACTACAGTAGAAGTCGCACATAGATTTAAAGGGAGTTTTATACATCGTTTTACACATTTTGAGATGGAATGAGTAGAGACAGATGAAGTATCACCAGAAACGCTGCTGCTATCATTACTATTATTATTATCACTGTGATCAGTTTTCGTGTATGTAAAAGTATAATAAAGCATTAATATCACAACCATATCTAATGGAGGTTGAAATGACCTCCCTGCATTCTCGTCTACTTCATCGTTATCATTATTATTATCAATATTTCCAATGTTACATGTTACCGTGTACGCATGTCTATGTGAATTAGGCATTTGATTCATTAAAACAAAATCATGATTTTTGCGCGGATTTGAAATTTCAATATAATTAGGATTTATTACAACTGGTGGACAGGAATAAGTTAAAAGATGAACAGATGTAAATTGTTTCCTAGCATACTTTTTAGGAAATTCAATAATTATATCAATAAAACAAATTTGATCATTATTGATTGATTCTGAAGGTAGACGAATGTTTGCTTTCAGTTTTGGAACACAGTTGCTCTCAACTTGATTGTCTTTATGCTGAATATTGCTAGAAAGTAATGCAGACGATGACTGACTAGTGTTCATTAAATTATTGATCCGTTCATTCAATTGATTCATTTCTTTATTAAAATTTTCATTAGTTAATTGGTCCTGGATAGTGGAATTTAATTCGATATTTGTACTACTACTATTATTATTATTACCATTTTTATAAGGTATTGTTTTTAAAATATTTGGAACAACTGAATCCGATGGATCTGTACCAAGATAGGAGAGAGTAAGTCGACCATTTGAATTGAGTAGAACAATCAAACCCGGTGGGAAGTTTATGCCTACTGTTGGAAGGGTATTTCCCCCACATTTGAATGAATCCAACGGAGATATTGGTATAGAACAGTGAAGTGAACCTATTGGTAGTAATGCTGACCATAATATCTCTATACCCTAAAGGAGGGGGTGGGGGGAAATAAAAATGTATTGCATAAAATAACACTCAAGTAAAACAACAAAAACATATAAATTTATTTGTGGAATTAAACTATAGTTTGTATATTCATTCAAATAACAGTGTGATAAGAACTACATGTGAACAATGAGAAAACGATAGAATTTATGAAGACATACCTGAGAGACGACAACAAACACTAATCATCACTGATGGAAAGAAATTAGGGGGGAATGTTCATCACACTTACCTGGGTAGCCTTGTCTCAACTAAAGGCAGTATCGACACAGATGTCAAAGTCAGCCAGAATTCGATGTAGGAATCAAGACATGCCTTGGTATCTCTGAAATTGCAGTGAAGATTTATAGTATTGGTCCTGTAAATTCCTATAATAGGTGAGCAGCAATCTTCGAATGTTTTGCATGCGATTCGCTCCCGTCATATGTAAGATGCTGTAGGACTGCATGACATTGACCCCTAGCTTAAAGATAGGGAGGGAACTGATAGAGCATGTTGACCACTTCACTTATTTGGGGAGTTGCATCAGCCACAACAGACTGATTGGTGACGAGACCCTGGCTCTAATACAAAAGCTTGTGGTATTTTACAACCCATGTCATCTCTGGAGTAAACGCGATAACCGGCTGGCTATCGATCAAAGGACATGTGTATTGCTCAGCAATCCGGTCTTTATGGTTGTGAGACATGGCCATTGAAAGTGGAAGACACACGTAAAGGTTGGCTGTCTTTAAACACAGATGTTTGTAATTTATCTCCCGTGTTAAGTGGTATAATACGGTGAGTAATTTTGAGGTTAGGTGTCGAGTGCTAGATAAGGAGAGAAAATCAATCGATGAAGTTGTAAGGCTACATCTGTTGAAATGGCTAGGACATCTGTTACGCATTCCTAGCTAATGCCTTCCTCGACGGTCAGTGTTAGCTGGCATATGATCAAGTTGCAAAAGAGCTACTAGTGGTGGTCACACCAAAATATAGAATAACTCAATGAAATCTCTACCAATTAGTTAGTTTTTGGCCACGTAAGGAGGTGTAAACTTCCTAATTGAGGTCCTTAGGATGATAAGAACCAATGATGACTGGAGACAATTGGTGATATGGCTCAAAATTGTTCTCAGTGGTGCAGCTGCACTCACTCTTTGTGATTTATCATATCCAATAAAACTCTATTGTTCTTTCATGTTACTATTCTTACTCCCTCACATTTTTGCTCATTACTGCTCTTTCGAATTTCTTTTTACCCTCTTTTGTCTCGCTTTGTGTGCTACATGAAGTGTGGCAACTCGAACTGCTGCACATCTCTGCAAATTTCTGTGGTGAAACCAGTTAGTCAGTCTATGATTACAACACATTGTCAAGCTCTTATTCTCTATCATTTTAACTATTAACTTCATGAAAAAGTCAAACTTATAAAATAAGACACTCGACATGTGAATAAATTTCGTGAACAATTCGTATATATATTTCAATAGCTTCGTCTTAGTCCAACAAAAAAGAGTCTAGTTAGAACATTATTCGATACAGCAAGAATGATACGTTCAAGTAAGCCGACTAGACCTAAGAAGAGAAATTCTTGAGGGAAACACTAATGAGAAGTGATTATTCGGAAAAATTTGTAATGTAAGAATGCAGAAGATAATTAAGGATAAGTAATATAAGAAACTGTTTCTAAGAAGAAGATTTGTATGAAGTTATCTTACAAGGGGGATAACGTTACTCGGTTGGTGAAACGTCCCTTGAAGAAAGCAATTAAACGAACCTATTATACAGCCGACTTCCGTTGCTCACAAACACAACAATGCGGATAGTTTTAAAAACAGGGAAATGCAAGACTTCGATCCTCATCCCATTAAAATGCGTACACACCAATCTGACTGACTGGTTTCAACGTAGAACTTTGAACTGATGTGCACCAGTTCGAGTTGCCACACTCCATGTAGTACATAAAGCAAGAGAAGAGAGTAAAGAGAGATTCAAAAGAGAGTGAGATAATAAACAGAAATATGAGGCAAAAAGAATATTAATATGGAAGAACAATAGAGTTTTATTGGATATGACAAATCACAAAGAGTGAATGCATTTGCACCATTGAGAACAATTTTCAGCCATATCAGTTGTCTCCAGCCATTGGTTCTTATCAACCCGATGACCCCAACCAGGAAGTCTACACCTCCCTACGTGCTTTAAACTAACTGTTATGAATTTCATTGACTGACTCCATGTTTTGGTTTGACAACCACAGCCCGAATAGCTCAGTGTTTACGTTTGTGACAACAGGACTGGGTGACACAGGTTCGAATCTCAGGAGATTGCACATGCGCTTTGCTGACTCATTTTAACAAGGAGGGAGCCTAGGTCCAAGGCTTCCTGCCGATCGCCTTCAACTACCTGATAAGGAGGTATGATTTAGGCACTCAACTTACAACCATAGGGCCAGTACTTTAAACCCTGCTCCACCTACGAAGGTTTGGACAGCCTAGTAGTATCACTAGCCTTCATATAATAGATGTGACTTGTCGTCAACTGCATAACAATGCAAGAGGTTGTTACGTGAGTAAGTGAGTGATATGCTTGCTTGATATATGTCAGTCTCAGGTTTACTCTCTTTCAACCATAATTATTACTAAATGATACAGATAAATGGTAGTTACAGTTTCACTAGTCCACCGAGGGAGGAGGCCCTCGAGTGGTTGCGCCACAGGATGATGTAGCATGCTGCTCTCTTCTCGCAAGAGGTAGGGATAGGTGTGTTCGGTTCTTCTGAAAACCAATGTACAAACGACCGGTCGATGGGTGGTCCAAACTTCGACCCCCAGTGGACGCACTCCAAAACTTCACCTACCCAGTAGCGAATCTGGTAAAGAGGTAAGGCTGAGTATGAGGCTAACATCCACACCCCATAGAAAGATAAACCACTGCTACTGAAACTCAAAAGCTCAAACTTGAAGCCCTATGTCTGTCTGTCTGTTTTCAATACAGAACTTTGCACCAATGTGCAGCAGTTCGAGTTGCCACACTTCACTTAGCACACAAAGCCAGAGAAGAAATGCAAAATACAGACAGTAGATAGGGATATGAGACAAAAGGAATAGTAATAACGAAGAGCAATAAAGTTTCACTGGGTATTATAAGACACAAGGAGTGGATGCATCTGCGCCAGCCTTTGAGAACGATTTTGAGTCATATCACCAATTGTCTCCAGCCTTCATTGGTTTTTACCGTCCCAAGGACCCCAACCAGTCAGGAAGTCTACACCTTCCTACGTGCCTTATACTAACTGTTGTGCACTTCACTGACTGATGCTGTGTCTTAGTTTGGCCACCAGTGGCTCTTTTCCAACCTGATCCATCCTATTTCAGTTAACATTGCCCGTCAAGGAAGGCGATGGCTAGGCATACGTAACACATGTCCTAACCATCTAAGTCGATGTAGCTTCACAGTCTCGTCGGTTGATTTCCCCTCCTTACTTAACACTCGACGCCTAATCTCAATATTACACACCCTAATATACCACTTAACACGGGAGATAGAACGCAGGCACTTATGATCAAAGACAGCTAGCTGGTCTTTTCATGTCTTTCACTCTCAATGGCCAGGTCTCGCTCACAGCCACAAAGGAGGACGGAGCGGACTGCTGAGCAGTACACACTCCCTTTGGTCGATAGCCAGCCGGATATCACGTCTACGCCAGAGACGGCGTAAACTGGCTTGTGCGAAACTAGCCCTCTGTATCCGTGCTGAGATCTCGTCAGTGATCAACCAGCTGGCACTGGTTGATGCAACTTCCCAAATAAATGAAGTGGTCAACGTGCTCTACCACTTGACTCCTTATTTCTAAACTAGGAGTCAATATATTCCAGTCCTGTAACCCCATCATCTTACATTTAGCGAGAGCGAATCGCATGCCAAACATTCGAAGATTGCAGCTCAAGATGTTCAGAAGACTCTGCATTTTGTCAGCGTCCTCACCTAGAAAGGACTATATCATCCTCATGCATATTCTAAGTCAACGAGATTATTCCCTGACGATAACAAGTCAATCCCTGAGTAGCTGAAGTCACTTAGGGTTAAGTCCATTAGTACGGTATCTATGATAAAATTGAATAGAAACGGGGATAGTGGGCATCCCTGACGGACACCACTAGTTGTCACCACTTCAGATGACAACTCGCCGTAAGCTCTCACCTGGCTGACTGCATGAGTTCGAGTAGAGTGAGTGCCTTGATCAGTACAATGTATTTTCTCGGCATTCCTTTAATAGCCAAGCATCACCAGAGTACCACCTCTCGGTCGACAGAATCGAATTCCGCCTTTAGGTCAAGAAATATGACGATTGTTAGACGCCGGACGGTAAGTATGCCTATGTTCCAAAATCTGTCGAAGAGTGAAGATCTGTTCCACTCGGAACTCAGGGAAATACCATTAATAATAAATAACAGAATTTTCATAATCTAATAAACGTAAATATCTGAAAACAGACAAACTTATTATAATAAAGGTTCTTGTATTTCCCAATGAATGAAAAACAAAACGATATTACTGTTTTTACTGACGTTTCGCTATTTAATGCTGCTGCTAATAGCTTTATCAAAGAGTATTATTAAACCGGAATTTACAAAATCTCAGCATATATATAACAAACAGTTAGGGGGTGAGAAAATAGACTTAGGTCAAGTTAAAAGGACATATTGAAAGTCAAAATAACAATGAAGATCACTAAACCAAATAACAAAGGTAATAGTACGTCTGTTATGATATCAAAATAAAGTTTACTAACTTGATCATCGTTCGTCAGTCTGGGGCATTTTTTAGTTGTCAAGTTGGTCAATTGGTAAAGATAACAAAACCATCATGTGTAGATTGTTGGATTTGATAAGTGTGTAAGATTATAAAAGCAGCGTGTGTTTACATAATGAAAGTGCTTATCACATTCGTGTTGGTTTTGTCACTTCATGGGGGAGGGGAGGGAGGTGTTGTAACCAGGTCAGATTCTGTTTTAGTCCATCATTCCTATTCAGGCAATTTGGATTCCACTTGATATGAAGTGCTTCTGATATTAGACGTTCTTTGTGATTTCTGAAGTTTTTCTGGATTATTTCAATATTGTCAAAATCAATTTTGTGGCCTGATTCTATAGCGTAGCATGTAGACCTATGGCTGATGATTTTTCAAGTTTTTGTAGTTCAACGGGATTTCTCGGTGGTCGAAGAGATGCTCTACGGTGTTCATTTCTTCTGATTTTGATTTCTCGAGATGTTTGTCCGATGTATATCGCATCATATTCCAAGCATTTTATTTTATAGACACAATTAGATAGAGAATCTTTAGGGATCTGGTCTTTTATATGGACAAGGTTGTTTCGTAGTGTGTCTGATGTTTTAAAGAAAACTCTAATGTCGAGCTGATTGAGTACTCTTCTGATATCGTCTGACGTCTCTGCTCTATATGGAATGACGACTGTTGATGTCCATGTTTTCGGAATGTGTTTTCGGCCAAACACATTACTATTACCTTTGTTATTTGGTTTAGTGATCTTCATTGTTATTTTGACTTTCAATATGTCCTTTTAACTTGACCTAAGTCTATTTTCTCACCCCCTAACTGTTTGTTATATATATGCTGAGATTTTGTAAATTCCGGTTTAATAATACTTTGATAAAACTATTAGCCGCATTAAATAGCGAAACGTCAGTAAAAACAATATCGTTTTGTTTTTCATTCATTGGGAAATACAAAAACCTTTATTATAATGAATATCATGTACCCAATGCCCAAATTTTTTCAAGCTGTTAAAAGTGAACTTGGTTTGGACATATATAACAGATACACTTACTTTGAATACAAGCAATTGATTCTTCTCTGTTGTGACTAGAAAACGTGGCTTCCAAGTGGGCATGGCTTTCACATTATCATTAACTGATGGGTTTTCATGTGAAGTAGGCGGATCCACCTCCGCATATCCATATATACATAAATGCTTCGGTGGAATATCAATTTGTCGAGTAAACAAAACACAACCAGATTCTGAAAGTAGAATAATCCGTCTTCTACCCAAAACAATAATATACGACAAGGGGAAATGCCTCCCACTTATACTTGTTGCTTCAATCTTCTCCATACTAAATATTGGTTCTTCTAAAACTATAGACCAATTTAATAGAATATTTTTACTACTATTATTATTATTATTTACATCACATGGCATATAGGAGGTGTCTTCACCAATTGAAGGCGTAAAACTGAAACAGTACACGCTTCTTGAAGCACTTGTCAACATTGTATAGTTGCACTGAAGAAAAACAACAGGGCCTGGTATAATAAGCATGCCTGGCAAGACTATGTTAAACAGTACTCCTGATAAAGTATAAAAACAAAACGATGCATCAATCATCTGTACACAAATCACATCTGTTTGAATGTGTTCAATAAATTTGCCAAGAAACATTTTAAATGAATTCTTTTCAATTCTATGATTGATAAGATTGGTTAATTTCCATGAATCAAATGAAAAGGTGACAGGGCATTTCGTGTCTTCATCAGCTGAGCTGTCAGACTTTGTCAAGTTGTATACGGATAACATTTGTGGATGAAGAATTGCAATCTGTTGATATGGACTGCCCACTTCTGTGACAAGGCGACCACAATCAATTGAGAGTATAGGTTGTTCGACGTTGTATTCAAGACATAAATCTTCACAGTGTTGTGACTGACAGAGTAAATCATCATCACCATCGGCAGCAGCGGCACATTCTCTAGCTCGAGGTAGAAAGATCGATAGAATACCAGAGAAAGTTCCAACAAGAATGAAATACTGAGATTTATTCAAATTGTGCAATGGACTTAATTTCAAACAGAATTCATCTTCATAACTGTTTCTATTCACCTGAGTTGACCAAATATCACGAAGTTTAAATAATGACATAATAAGGTGTTTAATCGATATAATACACGGTTGCCAATGGAAATACACTGATGAATGTTTCCCCTTTCATGTGAAAGACAAAACTGTGAAAGAGTATTCTCATTCCAAAGGTTGAGAAAGTCATCACGGACAAATATTTGAATGTTTAATCAAGAGAACCTAAAAAGCAAAGTGTATACAGAAATATAAGTAAGTTCAAAATAAAAATAACTGCGATACAAGCAATAATAGATAGTGATTTCAGTGTTATATAAACGATAACATTGAAAGGTAACAGAATTACGTGTTCTCTCCATAATTTATTTATTTTTTTTATTCCTTTACCTTCCCAGTGGAACATATGGCGCCTTCAAGCTAGAGGCTTGAAGTTTCTGTAGCAGTGGTGATTATTTTTTTTTACAGGATGGGGTTGCTAGCCTCATGCCCAACCTTTCCTCTTTACCAGTCTTATTAATGGCTTAGCGAGGTAAAGGAGCGTGTCAGTGGCCAGGGATCGAACCCCAGACCATGTACACGGTCAGCGAGCGTCTTAACTGCTATGCCACCGATGCCTCTATAATTTCGGAATATACACATTGGGTCATAGGAGTTAATAAAAAGACAATTGCAGCGAAGAAAATTTTCTTTTCGACGTAGTCATCATCTAGGCTGTACATTCGTTTATTTATATCAAATGGATGGGATGGGACGTGCATATACCAGTTTACTTGCTCTTGTGGAGCTGAGTACATCGGCCGTAACATGCGCCGACTTGGAAAAGGCGCTCGCGAACACTACCCAGCCTGGCTAGTAAAAGGAGACCGAAAACGTGTATACAGTTCAGTGACAGAACATCTGGTCAACTCAGGACATTCAGCGCCTTTCGAAAAATCCTTCAAAGTAATATACAAAATTCAATCAAACCTATCAAAGGGAGTCAAATCAAGACATCTGGGCATAGCTGAGGCGCTAGCTATCCAAAAGCTCAAACCCACTCTTTGTATCCAAAAGAATTACGTCCAACCCCTCTCCCTGCCATGGCCATCATAAACAGGTAAAATTTTTAGTAATGACAATCTCATCGCCTTTCTTATCTAAACTTCCCGTTTATTCATGTTATTTTAAGTTTTTCTTAATCCCTGTCTACACTACCATGTTTTCATATTCACACTTCCTGTTTATTTTGTCATTTTACTATTTCTACATATTTAATCTCTAACTGCATAAACAATTATTCGTCACATTAGTTTTTTTATCGAAATATCCTGTCTATTTTTGTTATTTCTACATTTCTAATCCCCAATTGCACAATATGTCAATCTTCTCAGTAATTATGATGCTACTTTGTTTGAGTTTTATCCGTCCCCCTATTTATTATGGTATTCTAATTCCTAATTGTAATTTTTAGTAATTTGCCCCTTGACCGGAAATTATTCTGGAACTTTCTCATCCATTTGATATAAATACACGAATGTACAGCCTAGATGATGACTTCGTCGAAAAGAAAATTTTCTTCGCTGCAATTGTCTTTTTATTACCTCTATAATTTATACCAAGATAATTACTCTAATGTCATACAAATTTGAAGAGTTACAGGTGAAAAGACAGGACTTCAAATGAACATAGAGAAGACGGAGGTGATGAAGATAACCAAGCAACAACAACAACAATAACAACAAGCATCAATCACTATCAAGGAAGGACATTTGAAAGAGGTCACTTTCTTCACATTTATCTAACCAGGCAGCAGCACGGATGACGATGTCAAAAAACTAGCCAGGATCGGAAAGGCAGGACAAACCTTCATCACTCTAAAATCGGTTTGGAAATCCTTTTCAATCAGCGCTTACGTAAGGTTCAGAAACATAGCAAACGCGTCACGAAAAGCATTTCCAATAGGCTACTACTGAAGACTTTAATCAACAGCCACCTTCCCTGGCTCCTCAATGAACATCAGATGACCAGTCTGCCAGAAAGGATAACCAAAAGGGAACTCCGATAACGAACTTATCTCCCTATAAATATTCCAAAGGAAATGGAGGTGGATCGGACACACTCTGAGGAGACCGTTGAGTGACATCGTGCACCAGACCATCGCTCGAGTGGAAGGTGAGTGTGAAAGGACAAGTTGAGTATGGGTCTGAGGGTGACATAGGGGAGGTCGTGTGAGGAGATAAGAGCCTATAAGCAATAAGGGACCCAGCAAAAGAGGACTGAAGAGAACAGGACAAAACGGAGGTATGCTGTTGAAGTCCTATGTTCCACTTGTAACCCAAAAGAATAATAATAATAAGATAATTAGTGGTAACGTGATGTATACTACTGATTTCAGTGAGTATTTGAAAGCCATTAGTCTCGCTCCATGAGCTGAGATTAACACCGCCTTAAACAAGAATCACATCACTTTCATCTACCTAGCAATCACTACTATTTGATGTGAATAGTTTCCATTTACTTATTATCAATGAGTAATAATATACCATCTTACTATTTTCTTTATTCCTTTGCGTTCCGAATGGGACAGGGCTTCAAGCTTGAGCTTTTAAGTTTCAGTAGCAGTGGTGTCTCTTTTTTGTGGCGTGGGACTGCTAACTTCACACCTAACCTTCCCTCTTTATCGTGTTTACAGCCACCTAAGGGAGGTAAAGGTGTGCGCCGACTGTGAATTAAGCCCCGGACTACCATATATGCTAACAAATAAAAACGCTTCATAATTACCAACTCAAGCCAAATTTTAAAAAAGATAGAATTAAAAGTATCCCGATATAAATGAAAAGAATTCTTCGAATAAATTTATTTTTTGTGTTGTCTACAAAACTGGTAGGGTAACTAGTCAAAAGACCTACTGACTGACTGACTGGTTTCAACGTAGAACTTTGCACCGATGTGCAGAAGTTCGAGTCGTCACACTCCATGTAGTAAACAAAGCCAGAGAAGAAAGTAAAAAGAAATGCAAAACACAGGCAGTAAACAGAGATATGAGGCAAAAAGAATAGTAATATGGAAGAACAATATAATTTTATTGGATATGACAAATCACAAAGAGTGAATGCGTGTGCGCCAGCCATTGAGAACAATTTTCAGACATATCACCAATTGTCGCAAGCCTTCATTGGTTTATACCGTCCCGAGGACCTAAACCAGTTGGGAAGTCTACACCTCCCTACGTGGCTGTCTGGCTTAAACTAACTGTTGTAGATTTCACTGACTGATGAAGCCATGTTTTGGTTTGACCACCACTAGCTCTTTTCCAACCCGATCCATCCTATGTCAGCTAACATTGTCCGTCGAGGAAGGCAATAGTTAGGTATGCGTGAGCAACACATGTCCTAACCATCTTAATCGATGTAACTTAACAACCTCGTCTATTGATTTCCCCTCCTAACCTAGCACTAGACGCTAAACCTCACTATGTACTAAAGCAGTTAGGAACTGAAATCCTTCATAGAGTTCCGAAACAAAAAGATAAGAGCATTTATTTAAGAAAATGACAGTTTGTCACGAGTTTAATCCAAATCACTACATGTATTGTGCACTGCTATCAATATCGATCCCTTAGAATCTAAGTGAAACAAAGGGCTTTAAAAGTACATCTTCACTTCATCCAATTCTCTACACTTGTCCATAGGCCTTCATTCCTACCTCACACTATCTCCTCGATGTCATTTCGTGTGCTTTTGGAAGTTTACACCAGATGATATGCCTTCTATCTCCCGTGTGAAATGGTATAATAGGGTGAGCAATATTGAGGTTAGGCGTCTAATGCTAGGTTAGGAAGGAAAATCAATCGACGAGGTTGTGAAGTGACATCGATTAAGATGGTTAAGACATGTGTCGCTCACGCATGCCTAACCATTGCCTTCCTCGACGGGGAATGTTAGCTGACATAGGGTCAGGTTGGAAAAGACCTAGCACATGCTGGGCAAACCAAAACACGGCTTCATCAGTCAATGAAATCCACAACAGCTAGTTTAAGCCAGACAGCCACGTGCGAAGGTGTAGACTTCCTGACTGGTTGGAGTCCTCGGGATGCTGAAAACCAATGAAGGCTGAAGACAATTGGTGATATGACTCAGAATCGTTCTCAATAGCTGGCGTAGATGCATCCACTCCTTGTGACTTATAATACCCAACGAAAATATATTCTTTTTCGTTATTACTATTCCTTTTGTCTCATATCCCTGTTTACTGTCTCTATTATGCATTTCTCCCACTTTCTTCTCTTGATTTTGTGTGCTACAAGGAGGGAGTGTGGAGGCTCGAACTGCTGCACATCAGTGCAAAGTTCTACGTTGAAACCAGTCAGTTAGTCCTGCATATCATCGTCAAACCAACCCAACTTGTCGCTTCCCATTCAGGTTCGACTCGATGTGATGTCACTCAAAAGTCTCCTCAGCGTATGTCCACTGCATCTATATTTTCTTCGGCATATTTATTGAGTTATAAGTTCTTGGTTGGTTGGTTCCTAGTCGTTTCTAGCCATCTGATCATCAGTACGGAGCGAAGACTTTCAGACCGATATACAGAACAAAGATACAGTGGTAGGACACCAGTTGAAACCTATACACCAACAAAAATAGGGAGATAAATAACTAAAAATGATAGAATATTCAAATCTTTAAAAAAAAAGCAAAAAGTGAAAACATTTATTTTGTTATAAGATTTTCGTGGACACTGAATAATATCCTCAAAAGGTTTGACAGTGTGCAGGACAATTTTTGAAGTAAACATTTCATGTTACTTAATACTAATAAGTAGTGTGTATTATATCATGCAAAACCTGTTTGTTATTTTTGCTTATCTTAATAACGTAAACTAGTGAGAGACATCTACATCACTTTTACACTTAAGACGACAAGATATTAAACATTCTAAATAGGATCTAATAGAAAAGGACAAAGAAATCTGAAATTTGAAAAAAATTCAAATGATGTTGACTTGAAAAAAGTTTTCATGGACACTGTTCGTCAATCACCACAGCTTTTAAGAAAAAAAACTGTAATTAACAACCAGAAGTTAGGCGAGAGAGATTTATTTTTGTATGTTAATTAGTAATAAAATCATCAAAAAAACGAACATTAAAAGACAGACAGTCTTTCTGTTTTCAACATAGAACTTTGCACCGATGTGCAGCAGTTCAATTCGCCACACTCCCTCCTTTTAGCACACAAAGCAATAGA